TAGGGCTTTGGCAACGGCCTCACTCTCGACATGAGCGTGAGCTAAAAATGTATCTTCAAGGTCCACCTCCACCTCCCTGTCTGAAGGGGTCCTGGCCTCGAGAACATCCACCTTGGTAGTAGCAGGACTTACCACATTTTGCTTACCCATGGATCTGGTCACAACACAGGCTGGATAAATGACACCATCATCCGCATCTGGTTGAGCCAGTACTGCACTAGGTTTAGTAAACATAACAGGACAATCGGTCCCACTAACTTGACACTTGTCAAAATCATTACCTACAATGATATCAATCCCAGAAATGGGCAACTGCTCACTGACTGCTACAGTGCACCAACCTGGTGTAATAGAAGAATTCAGGTTAACCATAATTAATGGTACACGCTGGATATGGCCTCCAAGTTCTTGCAATAACACTACCTCTGCAGTGTCTTCTGTGCTAACATCAGTAAGAACACGGTGAGATATTAAAAACTGGGAAGCACCAGTGTCCCTTAACAACTGAACTGGTTTCCAGGTTCCACTGGTACATAATAACTCTGCCCATTGTGGTGTACAGTCTCCGTGGTGTAGTGGTAAGACACTCGCCTGGCGTTCCGCGAGCGCTATGTCATGGGTTCATATCCTGGCCGGGGAGGATTTACTGGGCACAATTCCTTAACTGTAGCCTCTGTTTAACGCAGCAGTAAAATGTGTACTTGGATGAAAAAACGATTCTTCGCGGCAGGGGATCGTATTCCAGGGACCATAGGATTAAGGACCTGCCCGAAACGCTACGCGTACTAGTGGCTGTACAAGAATGTAACAACTCTTGTATATATCTAAAAAAAATAGGGTTCCCTAATGTAGGTATGGATCAAAATTAGTCATCCACTTGGGCATGACTGGAGCAACATTGGCATTAAAGGTTTGCAAACCCCTACTCATAATCAGACCAGTTGGTCTCAACTCAGGGTGCAAAGCATAACATGAATTTACCACATGACCTCTTCTCCTGCAATGTGTGCAATATCTGCTAGTGGTCAAAACAACCGAACCAACTGCAGGCCTTAATCACTACATTACTTGAGGTTGACAACCCTGTCTGTTGTTTCTCAGATTTAGGCTTTACTGAAGAAGGGTTAAGGGGAGAAGGTGAAGTAGCTAGTCGAGTCTGGAAAGCATGATTTTTAGGAGCATAATAATTAGTTTTAGCATTATAATGATTAATTGGTGCTCTAAAAGGCACTCTAGTAAGTAATTCATGCTCATCAGCTAGATTGGCTAGTTTCATAAGATCAGTGGTTTGTTTATTTTCAGCCATAAACAAAGCTAATTTCTCTGGTAGACATCCCAATACTTCCTCAGTTACTATGAGGTCTCTCAAAGTCTCAAACTCTGCAATATTAAGTGCTTTAACCCATCTATCAAAGTGATTTAATTTAACTCATACAAAGTCAGAAATAGTCTGGTCATGTGCTCTTTGTAAGCTTCTAAATTTTTGTCTATGTGCCTCTGGGATTTGCTGGTATGCATTTAAGATGCTCTGTTGAACAAATTTAAAATCGAAAGAATTCTCAGCAGACAAAGATTCAAATACCTCCTGAGCTTTACCCTTAAATTGTCCTTGTAAAATACCAACCCATTGATCAACAGGCCAGTTCATGTTGACTGCTAATTTCTTAAAATGCAAGACAAATATTTCTAGCTCTACTTCATTAACCTTAGGTAAATCTACATGTTTACTGTACTTAGAAGAACTATTTGTACTCTCTGGATTATTACTAGTGTTACCTAGCCCTGCCGCAATTCTCTGCTGTTCCAACCTGTTATTATTTTCAGCCATGCTCTGCTGAATTTCTAATTGTTTAGTCTGTTGTTCGGTTTGTTTAGTTTGCTGCTCTGCTAGTCGTAGCTGAGCCTCCAACTCAAGGTGTCTTTGCTGGTTCTGCAACTCCAACCTCTGCTTGTCTGCTTCCAGCCTTGCCATTTCTAATTTAGTCTCCATCCCCAACTTTAAGATTGCCACCTTTTCATTTGACTCTTCTTCTAACTCTCCTAAACACTCCTTGTCAAGTCTCTCCTCCTCCACCAAGTGTGTGACAATAACTCTTAACACTTGAGCCTTGAACATTTTACTGGAAACTGCTAGGTTCAATTTATCAGCCAGCAATAACAAACCAGACGTCCTCAAGTCTTTAATTTTACCAAAATTTGGTTGCTTTACTAGCACAACAACCTGATCCTCCATGGTTGGCTCAATTATCATAACTTAACACTTGTATCAACACTGAAAATTATGCTTGGCCTCTGGCACAAGCTGAACACTTACCTCAAATCGTGAAGCATTGAGAAGTTTTCACAGCAGCTCAAAACGACAGAGAAATTTACGCAGGCTTGATTAGGTGTCACTAGATAATCACAGAGTACCTAGGAAGGCAATTGTTATTAATACTTAGCACTGTCAATTGTACATACATTACAGGGAATTAAATTTAACATCCCGGACAGTGGCCCTCATTTTGTTACGACCCTCGATCTCTGGGTATGGTTCTTCTGTTGCAGTTGTAAATAATAAATAAATAAATGTTTATTTAGGTAAGGTACATACATACAAGAGATTTTACAAAGTTTGTTGGATTAATAGATAGAGCTAGTACATACAATGCCTAAAGCCACTATTACGCAAAGCGTTTCGGGCAGGAAAAACATTAAAGACTAAAGCTTAATACTAATGGGTATAAAGAATAAAATGTGTTGAGACCAATAAAAATAAAGATAAAAGAGGGGGGAACATGGCTGAAGAAGCAGCACAAATACAATTACAAATTATTACAGACAAACAGCGTTGTTTAAAAAAAAACAGACATGGGTTGACAACAGAGGGGTAAGGTAGGTTACAGGGAGTTTATTAGGTAGTGCTTCGTTTTTATCTTAAACTGGTTGAGAGAGGTACAGTCTTTAACATGGTTGGGAAGGTCATTCCACATTCTGGGTCCCTTGATTTGTAGAGCATTTCTAGTTTGATTAAGTTGTACTCTTGGAATATCAAAACTGTATTTATTTCTGGTGTGGTGCTCATGGTTTCTGTTACAACCTTCAATGAAGCTTTTGAGGTCAAGATTGGCATTACAGTTCAGCGTTTGATATATGTATAATACACATGAGAGAATGTGCAGTGACTTAATATCTAAGATATTCAGAGATTTGAGTAGGGGTACCGAGTGATGTCTGGGACCAAAGTTGGATATTGTCCTAATAGCAGCTTTGTGTTGAGTAATTAGAGGACGTAAATGATTTTGGGTAGTAGAACCCCAAGCACAAATACCATAGTTGAGAAATGGACAGATGAGGGAGTAATAGTCACCAGGGCAGGGCGGGGTACATAATATCTGATCTTAGAAAGAATGCCAACAGTTTTTGAAACTTTTTTTGATATATATAGAATGTGTCCCTGGAAATAAGTTGGTAATATATAATAATATACGGCCTTGCCTCATATAAATGTCTAGGGGAAATAATGCAACTGATACTAACAGAGCAATATACTTTTAGATAGGGGTAACAAAGAAACATACATGGAAAAATGCAGGCAGCCAGAAATATTCTTACACCATTAATTAATCTTACAATAGCACTATATAACATAAATCACTTCATATCAATACAAATGAATAGATGGGTAATCCTATAATAGTCTAACCAGAAAATCAGCCTTGTAAGCTAAGAAATAAAACAAAGATCCACCAACTTAACTCAAACATGTCTCCACCCGCCAGCTGTACCCACGCAACTGGCAAAATCCTGGCTTGCCAGGGCTGCGTCCTACCAACATATCAACTAAGCATCCACATAAACTATTGTGAAAATTATACTAACAAAATGTAGTACTAATAATCAATTCATTATTAATCTTAAGAGTATATAATATTGTTACATTACTCAATAGAATTTAATGACAAACAATAATGAGAATTAATCAAGGTTGAACTATAAACACTCGCTTGACAACAAGTTCCCACACTGGCCACATCCAAATATGGTCATCCCCCCACACGGAAGAAACCAACAGGAAATAACTTGCAAAAAGCCTCATACAATATAATGCAACTCAGGCACACTACAGCATGCTACAATATATACCATACAATAGTCTATAATCCTACAACTGTTTACTATACTAATTATAGAACAAGACAATAAAATATATAAGCATCAGGAGTATGTTAGAATCCTTATAAGATTCGTAACAGTGATCACACTATTAATTGGGATGGGGCGAAAAGCATTACCAATTACAATGGCTTTGTGGAACGGAATTTAATTTAGTCTACCCTAATTAGTCAATATCCAAATCTTCTCAATATTAGAACTGGTATGTACAAACTAGACCCAGTTTTGAGTTACAATATTGCACCACAGTCTAAGAAAAAACTATTATAGGGAGAGTTACATTGTCTCATAACAATATATTAATATATTTTGTGTGTGTTCAATGAGGCTTTTTCTTTAATCGTTTATTCTTACCGCTTAAATCCTTCTGATCACTCTAAGCTAATCTATACCTATTCTGGTTAATTCTTTCCCCAGGAGATGATAGTCAGGATCTAGTGTCTGCCTCCACTCTTTCTTTGTAATTTCTTTCAGTTCGATGTTGACAAAGGCCCAGATCGGCCGAAACGTTCATCTTTCTTTTCCATTTCTCTTTGGATTTTCCACACACACTTACACATACACACACACACTTATATATATATATATATATATATATATATATATATATATATATATATATATATATATATATATATATATATATATATATATATATATATATATATATATATATATATATATATATATATATATATATATATATATATATATATATATATATATATATATACATATATATATATATACATATATATATATATATATATATATATATATATATATATATATATATATATATATATATACGCATATTAGTATAATAAGGACATTTTTGTCAACAGGGCGCTGTGACTTCTACTCCTCAAGAGAGAGGTTCCTGCCGATGACGTTGTCTCTGATCGGTCAGAGGAACAGTCCTCTCGTCCCAGCCCTCAGTAAGAGGTGATCATTTTCTGAAGTGAAACAGTAAGAACTTTTATTCCACAATTCAATGGTTCTCATTTTGTCTGATTATTATATTACAATACACGATCCTCACCATAATTTGTATATATGGCAGAAAATCTGTATATGATTCACATGATCTGCCGTAGGGGAATGGCTCTCACATAAAGGCAGCTGATGAGGGGTATCATATCGGTGTGAGATTTTGTCATGCAAGACAATGGTGCGTGATGGGTCATCAATTGAAGGTTACCTAGTATGTTGTCCTGTGAAGGATCGTGTCGCTGACGGAGGCCGGGTTGTATGACCAGTGGTTCAAGGACACGGTTACCAATAGTACGAAGTGTGCTCATCCCGCCACCAGGATCACCGTCAGCACCACGCTCTCCCTCACCAACCTCTGGGTAGAGTATCTCTCCCTCTCCAACCTCTGGGTAGAGTATCTCTCCCTCGCCAACCTCTGGGTAGAGTATCTCTCCCTCGCGAACCTCTGGGTAAAGTATCTCTCCCTCGCCAACCTCTGGGTAGAGTATCTCTCCCTCGCCAACCTCTGGGTAAAGTATCTCTCCCTCCCCAACCTCTGGGTAAACTCTCTCTCCCTCGCCAACCTCTGGGTAAAGTATCTCTCCCTCGCCAACCTCTGGGTAAACTCTCTCCCCCTCGCCAACCTCTGGGTAAAGTATCTCTCCCTCGCCAACCTCTGGGTAGAGTGTCTTTCCTTCACCAACCTCTGGGTAGAGTATCTCTCCCTCGCCAACCTCTGGGTAGAGAATCTCTCCTTCACCAACCTCTGGGTAGAGCATCTCTCCCTCTCCAACCTCTGGGTAGAGTATCTCTCCCTCGCCAACCTCTGGGTAGAGTGTCTCTCCTTCACCAACCTCTGGGTAGAGTATCTCTCCCTCTCCAACCTCTGGGTAAAGTATCTTTCCTCCCAAACCTCTGGGTAGAGTATCTCTCCCTCGCCAACCTCTGGGTAAAGTATCTTTCCTTCACCAACCTCTGGGTAGAGCATCTCTCCCTCAACAACCTCTGGGTAGAGTATCTCTCCCTCACCTACCTCTGGGTAGAGTATCTTTCCTCCCCAACCTCTGGGTAGAGTATCTCTCCCTCACCAATCTCTGGGTACAGTATCTCTCCCTCACCAATTTTTGGGTAGAGTATCTCTCCCTCACCAACCTCTGGGTAGAGTATCTCTCCCTCTCCAACCTCTGGGTATAGTATCTCTCCTTCACCAACCTCTGGGTAGAGCATCTCTCCCTCACCAACCTCTGGGTAGAGTATTTCTCCTTCACCAACCTCTGGGTAGAGTATCTTCCCTCGCCATCCTCTGGATAGAGTATGTAAACATTCACACTCTCAGTATATTCAACCCATACTGCAATAATGATAGCATCTATTGCTACTTAGCACTGTTATTTCTGCTATTTTGTAGCACTGTTGCACACATCAACAGTTCGCGTGTTAGTATTACCGGACAACAAAAAGATCTCACAGAGTGTGTGTAGCAGTAGCGATAAACGGAATGTGCCCTCTCTTAGGTCTATTTTATTAATCCTAAGAAAAATTTTCACCATCTTAGTTCTAATTTATTGTATACTGTATATATATATATATATATATATATATATATATATATATATATATATATATATATATATATACATATATATATATATATATATATGTTGTACCTAGTAGCCAGAACTCACTTCTCAGCCTACTATTCAAGGCCCGATTTGCCTAATAAGCCAAGTTTTCCTGAATTAATATATTTACTATAATTTTTTTCTTATGAAATGATAAAGCAACCCTTTTCTCTATGTATGAGGTCAATTTTTTTTTATTGGAGTTAAAATTAACGTAGATATATGACCGAACCTAACCAACCCTACCTAACCTAACCTAACCTATATTTATAGGTAAGGTTAGGTTAGGTAGCCAAAAAAAGCTAGGTTAGGTTAGGTTAGGTAGGTTAGGTAGACGAAAAAACATTAATTCATGAAAACTTGGCTTATTAGGCAAATCGGACCTTGAATAGTAGGCTGAGAAGTGCGTTCTGGCTATTAGGTACGACATATATATATATATATATATATATATATATATATATATATATATATATATATATATATATATATATATATATATATATATTTATATATATATATATACTTAATACTAGGCCTAGGAAAATTCACATATGGTTCTTGCCTGCTTTCTCGGGCTCTCTAAAAAATATATAGCATAAACAGATGTCTTCTTTGGGCAAACTATTCTAAATTGTTTTCTTCCATCCGTGGTTATAACAGGTGATATATAGATTTTGGATACCAGGTTATTGCATTATATATGAATGCAAGTGTTACTGTATAAAATAATTCGGTGGTCGTGAATGTAATATATCAATATGATTGAAAAATCGACGATCTAAATATCGCACTTCTTCTTATGTAACAGGGCATGTTCGTTGTTCTCGTGGGCGGCCATGTTGTGGCTGGGATTGTTCTCTGCCTCGAGGTCCTCTCGCAAATCTCTTGTTCGAAGTGATCAATCAGCGCTGTGCCTGGAAATTTTCAGTCAACACTTAGTCTCCAAGTCAGCAGTCAACACTGTGTCTTCAGGTCAGCAGTCAACACTGTATCTCCAGGTCATCAGTCAACACACTCGCTAGGTCCGCAGTCAACACATTTACCTTTTAGGGTTTCTATTGGCCTTGAGAGATGAGACTGTTTGATCTCAGACTTGCATAAGATAATGAATAATATTGATGTTTAATACATTACTCATAATTTAAATGCATATTTTCTGCAAATATGTTTCAATAAAAACAATTTGAGTAACGATGTTTTAATACCTGACCTCGATATCAAAATGATGAGGAAGAGAATGGAAACGCATTTTATTACATACTAGCTGTATCTGGTCACAGCAATCTTCCCATCTCCCTGTCCTCCCGACCATTTCCGACTTCCCCGTTCCCTCATCCTCCCCACTTTCCATCCCTTCGGCCTCCCCCACCATCCCTCACTCTACAGTCCCTCGTCCTGGCCCACCTTACCCCCCCCCCCCCCCGTCCCTTTGTCCATTGTCCGATGCGTTCCCAAATGATAGAATGAGGTGATTTGATAAAATGCTATGCCCAAGATTACCATCCGAGTGCCGGCGGGGAAGTGGTTCATATAGCCTCGGCTATCACTTCCTTATGTCCGGTCGTGATGGTCAAGCGGATTAAGGCGTCCCTGTACATACCAGTTGTGGGAGTATGGGTTCGAGTCACTTCTGGGGTGTGAGTTTTCAGTTGTATATAGTCCTGGGGACCATTCAGGCTTGTTTGCATTTGTGTTCCTCACGTGTGCCCCAAAGAATGAGGTGATTTGATAAAATGCTATGCCCAAGATTACCATCCGAGTGCCGGCGGGGAAGTGGTTCATATAGCCTCGGCTATCACTTCCTTATGTCCGGTCGTGATGGTCAAGCGGATTAAGGCGTCCCTGTACATACCAGTTGTGGGAGTATGGGTTCGAGTCACTTCTGGGGTGTGAGTTTTCAGTTGTATATAGTCCTGGGGACCATTCAGGCTTGTTTGCATTTGTGTTCCTCACGTGTGCCCCAAAGAATGAGGTGATTTGATAAAATGCTATGCCCAAGATTACCATCCGAGTGCCGGCGGGGAAGTGGTTCATATAGCCTCGGCTATCACTTCCTTATGTCCGGTCGTGATGGTCAAGCGGATTAAGGCGTCCCTGTACATACCAGTTGTGGGAGTATGGGTTCGAGTCACTTCTGGGGTGTGAGTTTTCAGTTGTATATAGTCCTGGGGACCATTCAGGCTTGTTTGCATTTGTGTTCCTCACGTGTGCCCCAAAGAATGAGGTGATTTGATAAAATGCTATGCCCAAGATTACCATCCGAGTGCCGGCGGGGAAGTGGTTCATATAGCCTCGGCTATCACTTCCTTATGTCCGGTCGTGATGGTCAAGCGGATTAAGGCGTCCCTGTACATACCAGTTGTGGGAGTATGGGTTCGAGTCACTTCTGGGGTGTGAGTTTTCAGTTGTATATAGTCCTGGGGACCATTCAGGCTTGTTTGCATTTGTGTTCCTCACGTGTATATATATATATATATATATATATATATATATATATATATATATATATATATATATATATATATATATATATATATATATATATATATATATATATATATATATATATATATATATATATATATATATATATATATATATATATATATATATATATATATATATATATATATATATATATATATATATATATATATATATATATATATATATATATATATATATATATATATATATATATACGCATATTAGTATAATAAGGACATTTTTGTCAACAGGGCGCTGTGACTTCTACTCCTCAAGAGAGAGGTTCCTGCCGATGACGTTGTCTCTGATCGGTCAGAGGAACAGTCCTCTCGTCCCAGCCCTCAGTAAGAGGTGATCATTTTCTGAAGTGAAACAGTAAGAACTTTTATTCCACAATTCAATGGTTCTCATTTTGTCTGATTATTATATTACAATACACGATCCTCACCATAATTTGTATATATGGCAGAAAATCTGTATATGATTCACATGATCTGCCGTAGGGGAATGGCTCTCACATAAAGGCAGCTGATGAGGGGTATCATATCGGTGTGAGATTTTGTCATGCAAGACAATGGTGCGTGATGGGTCATCAATTGAAGGTTACCTAGTATGTTGTCCTGTGAAGGATCGTGTCGCTGACGGAGGCCGGGTTGTATGACCAGTGGTTCAAGGACACGGTTACCAATAGTACGAAGTGTGCTCATCCCGCCACCAGGATCACCGTCAGCACCACGCTCTCCCTCACCAACCTCTGGGTAGAGTATCTCTCCCTCTCCAACCTCTGGGTAGAGTATCTCTCCCTCGCCAACCTCTGGGTAGAGTATCTCTCCCTCGCGAACCTCTGGGTAAAGTATCTCTCCCTCGCCAACCTCTGGGTAGAGTATCTCTCCCTCGCCAACCTCTGGGTAAAGTATCTCTCCCTCCCCAACCTCTGGGTAAACTCTCTCTCCCTCGCCAACCTCTGGGTAAAGTATCTCTCCCTCGCCAACCTCTGGGTAAACTCTCTCCCCTCGCCAACCTCTGGGTAAAGTATCTCTCCCTCGCCAACCTCTGGGTAGAGTGTCTTTCCTTCACCAACCTCTGGGTAGAGTATCTCTCCCTCGCCAACCTCTGGGTAGAGAATCTCTCCTTCACCAACCTCTGGGTAGAGCATCTCTCCCTCTCCAACCTCTGGGTAGAGTATCTCTCCCTCGCCAACCTCTGGGTAGAGTGTCTCTCCTTCACCAACCTCTGGGTAGAGTATCTCTCCCTCTCCAACCTCTGGGTAAAGTATCTTTCCTCCCAAACCTCTGGGTAGAGTATCTCTCCCTCGCCAACCTCTGGGTAAAGTATCTTTCCTTCACCAACCTCTGGGTAGAGCATCTCTCCCTCAACAACCTCTGGGTAGAGTATCTCTCCCTCACCTACCTCTGGGTAGAGTATCTTTCCTCCCCAACCTCTGGGTAGAGTATCTCTCCCTCACCAATCTCTGGGTACAGTATCTCTCCCTCACCAATTTTTGGGTAGAGTATCTCTCCCTCACCAACCTCTGGGTAGAGTATCTCTCCCTCTCCAACCTCTGGGTATAGTATCTCTCCTTCACCAACCTCTGGGTAGAGCATCTCTCCCTCACCAACCTCTGGGTAGAGTATTTCTCCTTCACCAACCTCTGGGTAGAGTATCTTCCCTCGCCATCCTCTGGATAGAGTATGTAAACATTCACACTCTCAGTATATTCAACCCATACTGCAATAATGATAGCATCTATTGCTACTTAGCACTGTTATTTCTGCTATTTTGTAGCACTGTTGCACACATCAACAGTTCGCGTGTTAGTATTACCGGACAACAAAAAGATCTCACAGAGTGTGTGTAGCAGTAGCGATAAACGGAATGTGCCCTCTCTTAGGTCTATTTTATTAATCCTAAGAAAAATTTTCACCATCTTAGTTCTAATTTATTGTATACTGTATATATATATATATATATATATATATATATATATATATATATATATATATATATATATATATATATATATATATATATATATGTTGTACCTAGTAGCCAGAACTCACTTCTCAGCCTACTATTCAAGGCCCGATTTGCCTAATAAGCCAAGTTTTCCTGAATTAATATATTTACTATAATTTTTTTCTTATGAAATGATAAAGCAACCCTTTTCTCTATGTATGAGGTCAATTTTTTTTTATTGGAGTTAAAATTAACGTAGATATATGACCGAACCTAACCAACCCTACCTAACCTAACCTAACCTATATTATAGGTAAGGTTAGGTTAGGTAGCCAAAAAAAGCTAGGTTAGGTTAGGTTAGGTAGGTTAGGTAGACGAAAAAACATTAATTCATGAAAACTTGGCTTATTAGGCAAATCGGACCTTGAATAGTAGGCTGAGAAGTGCGTTCTGGCTATTAGGTACGACATATATATATATATATATATATATATATATATATATATATATATATATATATATATATATATATATATATATATATATATATATATATATATATATATATACTTAATACTAGGCCTAGGAAAATTCACATATGGTTCTTGCCTGCTTTCTCGGGCTCTCTAAAAAATATATAGCATAAACAGATGTCTTCTTTGGGCAAACTATTCTAAATTGTTTTCTTCCATCCGTGGTTATAACAGGTGATATATAGATTTTGGATACCAGGTTATTGCATTATATATGAATGCAAGTGTTACTGTATAAAATAATTCGGTGGTCGTGAATGTAATATATCAATATGATTGAAAAATCGACGATCTAAATATCGCACTTCTTCTTATGTAACAGGGCATGTTCGTTGTTCTCGTGGGCGGCCATGTTGTGGCTGGGATTGTTCTCTGCCTCGAGGTCCTCTCGCAAATCTCTTGTTCGAAGTGATCAATCAGCGCTGTGCCTGGAAATTTTCAGTCAACACTTAGTCTCCAAGTCAGCAGTCAACACTGTGTCTTCAGGTCAGCAGTCAACACTGTATCTCCAGGTCATCAGTCAACACACTCGCTAGGTCCGCAGTCAACACATTTACCTTTTAGGGTTTCTATTGGCCTTGAGAGATGAGACTGTTTGATCTCAGACTTGCATAAGATAATGAATAATATTGATGTTTAATACATTACTCATAATTTAAATGCATATTTTCTGCAAATATGTTTCAATAAAAACAATTTGAGTAACGATGTTTTAATACCTGACCTCGATATCAAAATGATGAGGAAGAGAATGGAAACGCATTTTATTACATACTAGCTGTATCTGGTCACAGCAATCTTCCCATCTCCCTGTCCTCCCGACCATTTCCGACTTCCCCGTTCCCTCATCCTCCCCACTTTCCATCCCTTCGGCCTCCCCCACCATCCCTCACTCTACAGTCCCCTCGTCCTGGCCCACCTTACCCCCCCCCTCCCCCGTCCCTTTGTCCATTGTCCGATGCGTTCCCAAATGATCCGATGTTCCCATTACTGAAAATTAAGAACAGTTAAAAAAACCAAATGATAAAAAGTAAAAAAAATAACCTATACTCACAAAATGATCGGTATAGAAAACTACACAGCAAATCAAATCAAATCAAAATAAAATAAATCGAAATCT